AGTGAAAACACCTGAGCTTGTTTACTTCTCTTTCCCCCTCATGGGTTTCCTTTTTACCCTGTGGTAAAGTATCTTTATTCTCTTCAATGAAATCTCCTTTCCCCTTACCACCTGAGGATTTCTCTTCTCCCCAATTTCTGTCCCTCTCAGATTGAGATTGATGTCAGAAGCCACATTTTGATTATGAAGTAACTCCTAATCATCTGCTATTTCTGCTGCTAATCTTGCAGTTCTAACTCTCTGCTGTTTCACATGAGTTCTTACTATTTCAGGAAGTGAATTTTTGAACTCCTCCAAAATAATCATCTCTGAGAGCGTCATGTGTTTGATCTATTTTCAATGCCCTTATCCACCTATCAAAATTACTCCAATCCTTTCAAACTCAATGTACATTTGACCAGGATTCCGACTTAGATTCCTGAAACGTTGTCTGTAGGCTTCGGGTACTAGCTCATTTGGACTTGATTTGGTATATTTCACCTCATGCTTCCCAGGTACCTCCTGTGATAGTTTTTTTTTATTCATTCATGGGATGAGGGCATCGCTGACTAGGCAGCATTTATTGCCCAGAGTGCAGTTCAGAGTCAGCCACATTGCTGTGGATCTGGAGTCACATGTAGGCCAGACCAGGTAAAGATGGCAGCTTCCTTCCCTAAAGGACATTAATGAACCACATGGGTTTTTCCAACAATCAACAATGGATTCACGGTAATCATTAGATTCTTAATTCCAGATATTTGTTGAATTCAAATTCCACCATTTGCCTTGGCGGGATTCAAACCCAGGTCCCCAGAATGTTATCTGGGTCTCTGGATTAACAGTCCAGCGATAATACCACTAGGCCATCGCCTCCCCTTGAATTGTCGGTTTATATGCAAAAAAGAGGGTCGGGGGAGGTGGTAAAGAGTAAACGATAGGTAGGGATAGAGTGCAGAGAGAGAAAAGAGCAGTTGCATAGACAAAGGAATAGGTAACAATCTGGCTAGGAGAGTGAATAGCTGTTAATGGAGACAATGAGGTGTTGTTCTTACAGCTTACGCTGAGCCTTCCAACCCTGCTGAGATCCCAGCAACAACTGCTGAAAGCTAACTTAAAAAAATCTTGGATCTGCAAGAGCTTGGCCATACCTACTCTGGCTGCTTATATTGTTCCAACTCTAAGTAAAGTGATGAAAAGTGTCATCAAGCAGCAGCTGCTCAGCAATAACCTGCTTAGTGATGTCCCGTTTGGGTTCCGCCAGGGCTACTCGGCTCCTGACCTCATTTACAGCCTTGGTTCAAACATGGACGAAAGAGCTGAATTCCAGAGGTGAGGTGAGAGTGACAGCCCTTGATATCAAGGCTGCATTCAACCGAGTGTGCCATCAAGGAGCAAAACAGGAATCAATGGGCATCGGGGCAAACTCTCCAATGGTCGGTGTCATACCTGACATGTCGGAAGATGGTCGTGGTTGTTGGAGGTCAATCATCTCAGCTCCAGGACATCCCTGCAGGAGCTCCCAGGGTAGTGTCTTGGGACCAACCATCTTTAGCTGCTTCATCAATGACCTTCCCTCCATCATAAGGTCAGAAGTGGGGATTTTTGCCGATGATTGCACATTGTTCAGCACCACTCGTGACTCCTCAGATACTGAAGCAGTCCATGTTCAAATGCAACAAGATCTGGAGAATATCCATTGCCACATGACAAGTGGCAAGTGACCTTCGCTCCACACAAACACCGGCTATGACCATCACCAACAAGAGACAATTTAACCACCACCTCTTGAAATTCAGTGGTGTTAACATCGCTGAATCCCCCGTTGTCAATGTCCTGGGGGTTATCATTGACCGGAGACTCAACTGGACTCACCACATAAACATTGGCTACAAGACCAGGCCAGAAGCTAGGAATACTGCAGCAAGTAACTCCCCTCCTGACTCCTCGAAGCCTGTCCACCATCTACAAGGCACAAGTCAGGAGTGTGATGGAATACTCCCCACTTGCCTGGATGGATGCAGCCCCAACAACATTCAAGAAGCTTGACACCATCAAGCTTGATTGGCACTACATCTACAAGTATCCACTCCCTCCACCACTGACACCCAGTACACACTGCTGCTACTATCTACAAGATGCACTGCAGAAATTCACCAAAGATCCTCAGATAGCACCTTCCAAATCCATGACCATCTAGAAGGACAAGGGCAGCAGACATATATGGGAACACCTCCAAGTTCCCTCCAGGCCACTTACCATCCTGACTTGGAAATATACTGCTGTTCCTTCATGGTCACTGTGTCAAAATTCTGGAATTTCCTCACTAATAGCATTTGGTGGTCAACCCACAGCAGGAGGACTGCAGCGGTTTAAGAAGGCAGCTCACCACCACCTTCTCGAGGGCAACTAGGGACAGACAAGAAATGCTGTCCGGCCAGCGATGCCCATGTCCCACAAATGAATAGAAAAAAAAAACACACCTCTTGAAGCCACAGCATCATCACACATTACATTACATTACTGTCGTTAACATCACAGCAACATTCGACAAAGTGTGGCATTAAAAAGCCCTTTTCAATATTGAAATTTATGGGAATCGGGGAAAATTTCCACTGGCAGGAGTCAGAGTCATGCAGCACAGAAACAGATTCTTCTGTCCAACCTATCCATGCTGACCAGAATCCCAAACTAAACTAGTCCCACCTGCCTGCGCTTGGTCCATATCCCTCCAAAACTTCCTTATTCATATACATGTTGAAATGTCTTTTAAACATTGCAACTGTATCTGCATCCAACACTTCCTCAAAGTTCATTCCACACACAAGCCATTCTGTGAAAACAATTGTCCCTGATGTATTTTTTTTTCAATCCTCCTCCTCCTGACACCTTAAAAACATGCTCCCAAGTCCTGAAATTCCCCCCACTCAGGAAAAGACAACTGCCATTCACCTTATCTGTACACCTCATGATTTCATAAACCTTTGTAAGGTCACCCCTCAATCTCCTACGCTCCAGTGAAAAAAGTCCCAGCCTATCCAGCCTCTCCTTATAACTCAAACCCTTCATTGTTGTGGTTGTTGAAAGACAATGATCTGAACCCCAAATCGTTATCTGCAATAGAGCATCTTTGATAAGGGATGATTACAGCATAGCTGGAACCTTGTCACAATTACATCACTTAGGATTTGTTCAAATTAGGCCAGGAGAGTGCATAAAAACCAGATGTATTGCTCAATACTTTACAATATATTCAAAGTTTGTACGACAATTACATGTGGCCCACTGTACTTGCATGTATGATCCAGGGAGCTGTGAGCACGAGTAGCATGTAGACAATGCTGATAGTCATCTGCCATAATGACAATTTACAGACCACCTCCAACATGGTCCACAGTGGCTGATAGAAAATAGTATCAGGAGAGTGAGAATTGAACACTATAGCATGATCTCGACTTATTCATAGAATGTGGGGGTCAGAGGAAAGACCAACATTTGTTTGTCATGACTAATTGTCCTGGAGAAAGTGGTGGTGAGCCTCCTTAAATTGCTGAATGACTCGAGTGTGCTCACGGCGCTGATGGGGGGTTGATTCACTGTATGTCTGTCACCTTATCAATGATGCCTTATATAATCGAACATGACCATTTTTTTCTGATGGTGCAATACTCTCCAATGCAAATAGGATGAAAAAAGATTTTTTAGTTTCTATTTGAGCTCCCATTCTTCATATTTGTCCTTGTGTACCAGCTGCAGATTTGCTACAATACTCGCATGCTTCATGTTGCATTCTGATCCTTGGAAAAGTTTGACTGAAAACTTGATAGTTTTCCTTAGTTGCCGTGCTTGGGTGCCATTACCCATCTGTTTATGCAACTAATAATTTAACTACTTTAGAAAGCGCAAAGCGGAAAGTTACTTTCTTGTAAATAATTCATTAAGTACCAATGTTTTGGAGCTTTGATTTGTTCTTTGTTTCTTTTCATGGGATGTCAACATCACCATCAAGACCAGCATTAGTTACCCATTGATGGTTGCCCTCGAGCTGAATGGCTTGCAAGACGATTTCAGAGGCATTTTTAAAAGTTATCCACTTAAGTTGTGTGTAGTGCAGACAGGCAAAGATAGAGAAGGAAATTTGCTGAAGAACATATGTATTATTACGCCAATCGATACTTTCATGGTCACCATCGCTAAGACTAGCTTTACATACCAGATTTATTAATTGAATTTAAATTCCAGCAGCCGCTTTGGTGGGATTTGAGCCCTTGTCTCCCGAGCATTAGTCTGCGCCTTTGAATTACCACCGCCATTACCCCAATGGCACCTTCTCCCTTAAATGAGAGAAATCTAAACTCTGTCATACTGTAATTCAAATTTGGACATCACATTTCACATTTTATTTCTTGCACACTTTTTTCTTGTTTGAATTTTGTGTAGTTGGGGCTTAGGAAAGGACGTTTCTTAGACTTTTGTTACCTCATTTGGTGTATAAGTTTGAAACCAGAGCTAAAATTATCGTTATCAACAGTTTGAGATATATGCAAACTAACACCAGCTGTTGTAAAAGCAAAATGCTGTGGATGCTGAAAATTTGAAGTAAAAACAAAGTGCTGGAGAAACTCAACAGGTCATACAGCATTCTTTGGGAAGAGAAGCTGATTTAACATTGAGTCCTGTGAATCTTCTGCAGAACCTAGAGTTTTTTTATTAATGCCACTGGCTAATTGCATCCACCTACATAGCCATGAAAGTTTAGGCTCCCCTACCATAGACATTGGGAATATTAATTCAGGGTAAGTTAGACCAGTGAGACAACGGAACTGAAATTTCAATTAGTGAGAAGCAAATTCGAAATTAATCTTGGAAACAAAAGTCTTTAATCTGCATGATTTAGCTCTTTAGGTACAAATCTGGAGAGTTCCAAATGCAGTAGGTGATTAGCCAGGTGAGTTGGATTATTTGCAGGTCAAACGGCCTTTTCTCATCTTTGATGTTTTCTTGTGTTCATACATTCCATACAGAGTCATTCAGACAGCGAATATTTAGATATTGAGATAGAAGATGGTGAAGTCGCTGATGGAACCTCAACAGCTGAGAAATTATGTGCACCTCCCAGGTGGGATCATTTCAACAATTGTTACACTTTGACATTGAAGTTTCTTGTCATCGTGTGTTTCTGTTGTCGTCTGTTTCCAGACCAGAACCGCAGGGCTGTCCCTCCAGTATTTCTCCCAGTACCACTGGACAGCTACATATTCTGTGCCTCACCCCAGTTGTTGAAGTGAGAATTCACTATTTGGAATGAAGAATGCACAGCCACACTTTGCCACATTTGTAGGGCAGCAAGTGTTGCCCCTGTCTTAAAGTTCATCAGAATGCTTGCCTGCTGTCTGACCTTGCTAGATTTTAAAAACATACTAAAAATGTGGAACTGGCAATCAGAGACTTAATGCTATTGGCATTGTGCCATTTTACTTACGAATGTTTTAGATATGTGAAGTAGTATATTAAATCATACCAGTAACTTTGATAGAATACACATTTCTCTACTATTGGTCTCCCTGGTCTATGCAGCTGTTGCATTCAGGGTAGGCTTCCAATGTTGTAGAGTCACCCATTAGATAATGTGAAAAAGTTGTCCATTCACAACTTCTGTTGATTTTGTTTTCCCCCTACCCCACACCAGCCTCCACAGTTACCACATAGAAATAGCATTAGCTCCACTTTGCTTGACAAGGAATGAGAACGTCAGCTTTAGAACACCCTGCTGAGTAGGTTCCTTTTTCCTCCTGTCTTTAAGGTGCTGGCTGTTGTTCAGTCTTATCTCCACAGATGGTCACTTTCCATCGCCATGTTCAGGTTCTTTGTTATTGCAAAAATATATTTTATTTGTTAAAATTTTTTTCACATACATACACGAGGCAGAAAGCATTTTGTACAGTCTTTACGTATAAAATAATTGAAATTTGACATTCCTTGTTGTTGCTACCAAAAGCATTTTCCACTCATTCAGGTCGCTGTTTACATACTGAGGCAAAGAGAGGGTGTGATAGTTGAACGGACCCGAAATGTACTTTGGCAGAAAAACCCTAGACAGTGGTCTTTCCCTACTGCACTTTGGCGGGAGCTACCCCAAGCTTTATTGCAACCCTCAGCACCTAGATCTGCACCTTGGAACGTGCCAGTCTGCAACACTCGGTCGAGGTCAACTGTTCACACTGAGAAACTAACAAGTTTCAGGCAAACCACAAAGCCTCTTTCACCAAGTTTGTATTCTCGGTCTGCATCCCAGGTTGCAGATTGTAGAAGATAGAGTGCTGAGTCAGAGAGCTGCTTGTAACAAACCTTGACAAAAACAACTGCATCTCTCTCTTGGCCTTTTTTTGCAAAGGAGAAGTGTGATGGTGTCATCGATGTCAAACCCCACCCCCCAACACCATTCTTTCTCTTCCCCTCTCAAAGATGGCCATCAGGATGAGGACAATGTTGGGTATGTCTTCTGCACCCGCCTTATCCAGAGCTTTGTATATGGTGTCCCTGTGGACATGGTGTTTCTTTGATTTCCAGATGAAGTAGCAGATGGCTCAGGTGACTGCAGTGGTGCAGGCTTGAGGATTGGGCCAAGCCTGCACCACACATAACACCACCAAGACTACCTCACACCTGATGCCCAGGTTTTTACCCATCATGGAGTGGGACCAGTGCTCCCATAAGCCTAGTTTCTGCATCACCTTGGCAATACGCTCCTCCCAAGTTGTCCCATGTGCCCCAACCGCTCTGAACCCCAGCACCTTCAGATAGTCAGACCTAATGGTGAAGGGGATAAAGGATCGGTCAGCCCAGTTCCAAAAAAAGACATGGCCTCGCTCTTGCCTTGATTTACTTTGGCTCCTGAGGCCAGTTTGAACTAGTTGCAGATGCTCACGAATCTGCACACTGACAGTGAATCTGAGTAGAAAATGGTGATATCATCCATGCTCTGACCTACAGACCTGTGTTTTGGACTAGTCACCTTTCTCGGGCTCACATCCTTACTGATGAACTCAGCATCAAGCTCTATACAACACACAAACAATGCCATGTCCAAATTACCATTCTGCAAGTATGTGCCCATAGCTGGCTTGGATATGAACTGTTCATCTGCAGCCGGTACTGTAGGGGCTGAATCCTCTTCTCACTCAGCATGGGTGTATTTTGTAATAATTGAATCTTCTTTTTTCAGATGGCATTTTCACAATTATTCGCAATCTCACAAGTTTTCACCCAAGAGAAAGGTAAGTCTTCATATACAGCATTGATTTAATTGATTTAAGCTTTTCTGAAGAAGGGTCCAGACCTGAAACGTCAGCTTTCCTGCTCCTCTGCTGCCTCGCCTGCTGTGTTCATCCAGCTCGACACCTTGTTATCTCATTCTCCAGCATCAGCAGTTCCTGCTTTCTCTTTGATTTAATCCTGTTTTGCAGTCCTGTGATTATCTGTATTCTGATAGGATAAGCCTTTGTTAGTTCTGTAAAATTTGACTTTTGAAGCAAAATTACAGAATGATAGACCATCAAACATTTTGGGACTGTCGAGTCTCTGCAGCCATTGTCGAATTCAGGTGACCCAGCTTCTGCACATATCCCTGGAATAACGCTGCAGTGATCCTGTTCTAACTACCTGCTGTGTATTTCTCCAGCTTGGCACATTCTTTTTGAGATTCATTGAATTTGTTACCTTGTTATTGGGTGCAAAGGACCTGTTCCTAGTTGCTTTATTACCATAATATTGATCGCATCTATTGGTACATAGGTTAACCTATGTAAAGTATCATTTAAAGATGAGAAGTCAAACTTTTCTACAGCCTTCAGGGCTATTTCTTTTGAATGTTCTTCCTTTTTAGGTTTTTTCTTTATCTGATAAATTATAATCCCTGATTTATCTTGGAGCTGATTAAATTTGCAGTCCTGGTGTCAATTAATCCCATCTTATCAGCCTGGTAGATAACTCTTCTTAATTCATGACTAATTATATCAAATCAGCTTTCCTAATAGTACTAAAGTCTTTTGGGATCTATCCTGGCTTGATCCAGTACTGCAGACTTGTGTGTATAATTGTCTGTATCCTGGTTCGCTTCCTGACAGTAATTGTGAAGGAATTTCTTTTGTCTTCCATGCCAGAAATGTTCAATCTTTCCTTTTACCAGTATTCTATTGACCATAGGCCATAAGATATAGGAGCATAATTAGGCCATTTGGCCCATCAAGTCTGCTCTGCCATCGATCCTGTTACTGATCAAGAACCTATCTGTCTCTGTCTTAAATACACACAATGACTTGGCCTCCACAGCATTCTGTGGCAGTGACTACCACAGATTAACCACTTGGGTGAAGAAATTCCTCCATGTCAGTTCCAAAGGACACCGTGCCCCAGGTCCTAATATCTCCTCCCAGTGGAAACAACTCCATATCCACTCCATCCAGGTCTGTAGCATTCTGTAAGTCTCAATCAGATCCTCTCCTTGTCCTTCTGAACTCCACTGAGTGCAGACCCAGAGTCCTCAACCACTCCTAACAAGCTGTTCATCTTGGGGATCATTCATGTCAACCTCTTTTTGACACCTCCAACCCAAGCAGATCCTTACTTGGATACGGTCCCCAAAACTGCTCAGAATGTTTCAAATGCATTGTGACCAGAGCCTTGTACAGCCTCAGCAGTAGATCTCTAGTATTTTAGACCTCCTGAAATGAATGCTAACATTGCATTAGCTTCCTTAACTGTCAAATGACCCTGCATGCTACCCTTAAGAGAATTCTGAATTAGAACTCGCAGGTGCCTTTTCGCTTCACATTTCAGAAGCCTTTCCCCATTTTGAAAATAGTCTATCTCTCTATTCTTCCTACCAAAGTGCATAACTTCACACTTTTCCCACATTGTATTCCATCTGCCACAGCTTTTCCCACTCTGCTAGCCTGTCCAAGTCCTTCTGCAACCTCCTTCCTCAGTACTACCTGTCCCTCCACCTATCTTGGTATCATCTACAAACTTAGCAACAATGCTTTCAGCTCCTTCGTCCAGATCGTTAATGTATAATATATAAGTTGAATAGTTGTGATCCCAAGACTGACCCCTGTGGAACCTCACTGGTCATTGCTGCCATCTTGAAAAAGACCACTTTATCCTACTCTACCTCAGCCTGTCAGCCAGTCCTCTGTCCATGCCAGTACCTTGCCCCGAACCCCACTATGGGCTCTTATCTTTTTTAGCGGCCTCCTGTGCAACACAAAGGCAAACTGGAAATCCAGATGTCCTTTTTTAAATTCATTAATGTGCTTGGGACTTCGATAGCTAGGCCAGCATTTATTGCCCATCTCTAATTGCCCAGAGGGCAGTTAAGAATCAACCACGTCACTGTGGTTATGGAGTCGCACGTAGGCCAGAACAAGTAAGGGTGGCAGTTTCTTTCCCTAAGAGACATTAGTGAACCAATGGGGTTTTCTGACAGTGGATTTGTGGTCATCATTAGACTCCTAATTCCAGATTTTAATTGAATACAGATTTCATCATCTGCCATGGCAGGATTCAAATCCAGGACCCCAGATTATTACCTGGATCTCGTGATTTAACGCTCCAGCAACAATACCACTAGACCATTGCCTCCCCACATAGATCACGTCCACTGGTTCTCCTTTGTCTAACTTGCTTATTACCTTCTCAAAGAATTCTAACCGATTCGTCAAGCATGAACTCCCCTTGACGAAGCTGCGCTGACTCCAGCCTATTTTACTATACACTTTCAAGTGCTCCGCAATCTCATCCTTAATAATGGATTCTCAAATCTTAGCAATGACTAAGGTCAGTCTAACCATCCTACAGTTCCCTGTCTTCTGCCTTCCTCCTTTCTTAAACAAGGGTATTACGTTAGCTATTTTCCAGTCTTCTGAGACCCTCCCTGACTCCAGTGATTCCTTAATGATTACCACCGAAGCCTCTATGATCTTTTCAGCTATCTCCTTCACAACTCTGGGCTGTAGTCCATCTGGTCAAGGTAATTTCAGCTTTAAGCTTCCCCAGCACCACCTCAGTGATAGCCACAACACCCACCTCTGCCTACTGACTCTCTAGAAGTTTTGGTTTGCTGTGAGTGTCTTCCCCTGTTAACACTGATGCAAAATACCTATTCAGATTCTCCACCATTTCTTTGTTCCCATTGCTACTTCTCCAGCCTCATCTTCCAGCAGTCCAATGTCCACTCTTACCTCGCTCTTAACTTTTATATGTCAAAAAAACTCTTGCAATCTTCTTTTATATTACTAGCTAGCTTACTCTACTATTGCGCCTTCTTCCTGCTTCTTGCTTTTTCAGATATCCTCTGCTGGTTTTTAAAGACTTCCCAATCCTCTGTCTTCCCACGAATCTTCACCACAATTGTATGCTGCTTCTTTTGCTTTAATGCTGTACCTGACTTCCCTTGTCAGTCATCATTGCCTTATCATCCCCTTAGTATGTTTCTTCTTCTTTGGGAATAAATATCTGTTGTGCCTTTCAAATTACCCAGAAACACCTACCATTGCTGCTCCACTTCCAATCAACTCAGGCCAGCTCCTTCCTCATGCTTTTGTAGTTACCTTTGCTCAATTGTGGTACTGTTACATCTATTACAGCTTCTCCCTGTCAAACCATAGGGTGAATTCTATCATCAGAGATAGTAAGAACTGCCAATGCTGGAGTCTGAGGTAACACAGTGTGGAGCTGGAGGAACACAGCAGGCCAGGCAGCATCAGAGGAGCAGGAAAGCTGACATTTCGGGTCGAGACCCTTCTTCAGAAATGGAGAGGGGAAGTGGGCTCTGAAATAAATAGAGCGGGGTGGTTGGGCTGGAGAAGGTAGGTGGGATGGTGATAGCAGGTAGTGGTGGAAATTGGTCAGTGAGGTGGGAGGAGCAGATAGATGGGAGAGAAGACTGACAGGTCAAGGAGGCGGGCATGAGAGGTAAGGTAGGTCTTGGGATGAGGCGGGGTTGGGTGGGTGGGGGAGGAGGAGTTGCGGTTCTTGCGGTGAATTCTATCAAGTATGGTCATTGCCCCCTAAGGATTCTTTCACCTTAAGTCTGCCTCATTACGTATCCCCAAATCCAGAATTGCTTGATCCCTAGTGGGCTCTACCACAAGCTGCTCTTGAAACAAAATCTCGTTGACATTCCACAAATGCCTTTTCTTGGGATCCACCACCAACCTGATTTTCTTTTTTTCCCATTCCACCTGCATATTGAAAATCCCCATAATAAATATAATCGTGTCTCTTTTGTTACATGCCTTTCTTATCTCCTGTTTTATTTTCTGTTCCACATCCTGACGCTACTGTTTGGAAACCTGTATATAATGTCCATTGGGGTCTTTTTATTTGCCTTTGCAGTTCCTCAACTCTACCCACGTGGATTCTGTGCTTTGAGTCAATATTGCTGTTGATTTAATTTCATTTCTTACTAGCAAGGCAACTCCACCCCCCCACCCATCTGCTTGTCCTATTGATTCTTGGATATTTAGTTCTCAGCCCCGATTTCCTTGCAGCCACGCCTCTAAAATCCACACGTCGTACCTGCCAATTTCAATCTGCATAACAAGCTCATTTACCTCGTTTTATTGTACTGTGTGCGTTTAAGTTCAAAACCCTCAGTCCTGCATTGACTGCCCCCTTTCTGATAATTGGGTCCTTATCTGCTGTGCCTGAAGTTAGATTCCTGAATGTTTCCATACTTAGTCATATTACTTGTTCTGGAAACTTTAATAACCTCCGTTGAGCCCTCTACTCCCGCTTAACTTTTTCCATAATTTTCCATGCAACTAAACCCACTCTCCCCCACTATTTAGTTTAAAGCCCCATCTACAGCCCTAGTTATTGGATTCGCCACGACTCCAGCCCCAGCATGATTCAGGTGGAGCTCCCTCCTTCCCCAGTACTGGTGCCAATGTCCCATGAATTCCAACCCATTTCTCCCTTACGAATCTTTGAGCCACACTTTTAATACTTTAATCTTGCTGACCCTGTGTCAGTTAGCGTGTGGCTGAAGTAGTAATCCAAAAACTACCTTTTTGGTTCTGCGTTTTAATCTTGCTCTAGCTGCTTATATTTCCTCCATAGAACCCCTTTCCTCTATCTACCTATATTATTGGTACCTACGTGAACCACGACAACTGGATCCTTCCCTCCATTCCAAGTTTCTTTGTAGCCCAGATGAAATATCCTGAACTCTGGCACCAGGCAGGCAACACAACTTCAGGACACTTGATTCTGGCCATAGAAAACAATGTCTATTCCCATGATTATACAGTCCCCAATTACAACTACATTTCTCTTTTCTCCTCCCTCTTGAATGGCTGTCCTGAACCACAGTGCTATGCTCGTGCTCCCTACAGCTCCAAATCTCAGCCAGACAGGGCGAAGAATCTCAAACAAGCTCAAGGGCTGAGGTTCCTTCAGTACTATCTCCTGGAACCCTCTGCCTGCCTTGATCCTTGTCACAACCTCCTTTACTAACCGCTGACTGAATTTAAGGCAGTTAATCTAAGGGGTGTGACTGCCTCCTGAAATATAGTGTCCAGCTAAGTCTTCCTCTTCCTGATGTGTTGCAGTGTTTGAAGCTCAGACACCAGCTTATTAACTCTGAGCTGGAGTTTCTCAAGCAACCAACACTTGCTCCAGATGTGGTCATTATGAACTACAATGGGGTCCACTAGCTCCCACATCATGCAGATATAACTTATCACCTGGCCCTGCATCCCTACTTACTTAGTTGTTAAATTGATTTTTAAATATTTCTGAATGGTCTTTTAGTTTGTAACATGTAAATATTTCCCTTATTTACCTTCAATTGAAAGTAACCTATAATAGTCAAATTAATTCCTGCCACCAATCCAGTAAACTTATGGTTTACCTGCAATGTCACTCTTGTGCTGGGTCCCTGATCCTGGGCTTAATTTTATCCTGTTAAATAAAAACCTTACAAATTGAGCCAAAAGAAAAGCAAGCAAAAAGCACCTCTTCCCCCTCTTCGCCAAATTCCCTGCACTATATACTCACCTTGGGCTGCATCAACTCTGGATGTGATCTCTCCTTCCTGACTGTGCAAAACTTACTGGATTAATTGAATACAAAAGCAGCTATCTTCTGCAGTCGTGGGCTTGCATGTCAATGCAACAAGTAATCTTTTTTATTTTAAAGATTTACAATTCATCGGAGCTGAGGAAAAGCAGAAAGAATCCACTGCTGCACACTATTAGAGAGAGAGAGTGGCGCAAACTTATGCAGAAACGTTTCAGTGAGTTAAGGGAGCTGCTGTTTGAGGACGAGCGGGTTTCTAAACGTGCCATTCTTGATGAGGTTTGTTAAAGAATTTCCTTAGTGTTTTGTTTATTTTTGCTCATAATTCTCTCGTATTTCCTGCAAAGATATGTTCCACTAAGGTCTGAAAGTGATGGTTGATGCCAGAGTATGGTCTCTCGGATTTTCGAATACCCCACCCAATAAAAAGGCAACATTCCAAGAGGCTATTAGTAAGCTGCATGTCTGGGAGTTGAGAGAAGGAGAGATCATAGTTAAAGCTGTCTCAAGTCCTGCAGTCCTTAGATATCCACCCTGAAGTACTTCCAGCAGTGATGTGGAGACGGTGGTATTGGCATTGGGTGGACAAGGTCAGAAGTCACACGACACCGGGTTATAGTCCAACTGATTTATTTGAAATCACCAAGGTTTTGGAGCAGTGCCCCTTTGTCCTACTTTGAACAGGAAATAGTGGCTCACTGAGGAGTTGTTTCTGTGCCCTTTCTAAGCCTGAAAATGCTGAATCTGTCATTCCTCCATGTTGTTTTATGACCATCTGTTTGTTTTCTCATCCTAACTGGTTTGACATGCTGCATGTCATCTTTACTCTTTTTTTTTAAAATTCATTTATGGGATGTGAGCCTCGCTGGCTAGCCAGCATTTATTGCCTGTTCCCAGTTGGCCTTGAGAAGGTGGTGGTGGTGAGCTGCCTTCTTAAATCACTGCAGTCCACCTGCTGTGGGTTGACTCACAATGTCATTTGGGAGTGACTTTTGCGTGTTACCACTGTATTCTAAGCTGGTTGCAGATTACTTCGCTCATGTTGGGAGGAAATGGTTTATGCAGAATTCTTGATGTCAGCACTAAGTCCTTCAGCATCTGCCAAGCAATCCCTGTAAATGTTAGCAACTTTAAATTACTCAGGAAACCCAACACTGCTCCAATCACACAAACAGCAGTAGAAACAAATCAGCAACTAATGTGAAGTTAGTTGATGATCCCTTTAAGTAAAACTAGTTGGTGGTCCTTCCTACTGCTGAATGCACATTTGGTTGTGTGAGGTTGAGAGAGGGTAATAAACTTACATCACTGTTATCAAATCAGATGTCACAATCTATCTGCTTTATATACTTTTGGCACACTAATGTGCTCCCCGAAATGGTATCTCATTTTGTTTAAATATCCTTATCTGGCCTATCATTGCTGATTGACTTAAAGATGGTCACCCAGCTGGTACCTTTGATTAAGGATCAGGCAAGCTTTATTTACACAAATAGTCACCAAGCCATCAAAAATTTATTATGCACTAATTAAGCTTGTATTCTGTGCAGCTTAGGAACATGGACAAGCCATAAATAGCAATGTCTTATTTTTCTATTTTTGTTTAAGGCAGAATTACAATAAGAGTATAAATCAATATATTCTAACTTATTGTAATCTTTAGATGATGACATGACTTTTGAATGATTTGCTGCTGTTGACAGTATATAATATTGCTCCATTCATAAAACTTTTACTTAATTGTCACCATAGGCCATCAGTGAAATTCAAAATCTGTGTCAGCAAGGACATAAACTTTATTTGGAGAAAAAGCTACTGATGAAAAAACACAAAGCATTGTTAAAAATAATCTCTGTACTCTCTGGTAAGGCTTATTTTCTAACTTTTCACCAATGTAAATGTTAACCATAGTAATTTTTTTTGAGATTTTTTTTAACTTTCACTCTTTTTATCCGTTAATCACTGGTTAACTTGATCCATTGTGATGCACTATTTATCATCAATCTATAGCATTTGTGGTTAGCAGCCTTTAGATATTTACGTTTTGAAAATATGTTTTTTTTTCAATCTTGAAAGTGAATCTGGAAATATAGCTGTTTAGGGACCTCCTAAATGAGGCCATTCAGTCTATCAGTTCTTTAGTGGATGATATAACATGGGAGGAAACCATATGACGCGTTGTGGCTCTTTGACAGTGATCAAATTACATCTTTTCTCTATGGCTGGCTATGTAAGTGATTTCCTCTCCCGCATTTATCCAATATATCTTTTGAAAGTTACCACTGAATTTGAATTCCTCACTCATTCGGGGTGTATAATTCAGTTCATCAGAAATTACTGCAGTGTTTCTAAGAAAAGATCCCCTCCCTTGTTCTTTTGCTAGTCCCTTTCAAACTTCAGTCTTGTGGTTATTGAAGCTTCTGTCACTGGAAACTGATTTACGTAAGAAATAGGAGCAGGAGTAGACCATCTTGCCCCTCGAGCCTGCTCTGCCATTCAATAAGATCGTAGCCATGATATGAAGGTGCTGGTGTTGGACCAGGGTGGACAAGGTCAGTAGTCACACAACACCAGGTTTTGTCCAACAAACTTATTTGAAATCCTGAGCTTTTGGAGCGCTGCTGCTTCATCAGATGAAGTGATGAAAGAGCAGTGCTTCAAAAGCTTGTGATTTCAGATAAAGCTGTTGGACTATAACCTGGTGTCTTGTGACTTCTGACCTTATTCAATAAGATTGTGGCTGATCTTTTTGTGGATTCAGCTCCACTTATCCACCTACGCACAATAACCCTCAATTCCTTTTACGGTTCAAAAATCTATTTATCTTTGCCTTAAAAGCATTCAACGAGGTGGCCGCAACTGCTTCACTGGGCAGGGAATTCCACAGATTCACAACTCCAGTCCTAAATCTGCTCCTCCTTATTTTGAGGCTATGTCCCCTAGATCTAGTTTCACCCGCCAGTGGAAACAACCTCCCTGTTTTTATATTATCTATTCCCTTAATTATTTTGTGTTTCTATAAGATCCACCCTCATTCTTCTAAATTGCAATGAATATAGTCCAAGTCTACTCAACGTTTCATAAGCCAACCCCCTCAACTCTGAAATCAACCTAGTGAACCTCCTCTGCACCCCTTGCAGTGCCAGTACATCCTTCCTCAAGTAAGGACACTAAAACTGTACACAGTACTCCAGGTGTGTCCTCACCCGTACCCTTTCCAGCTGCAGTATAACCTCCCTATTTTCAAACTCCATCTCTCTAGCAATGAAGCACAATATTCCATTTGCCTTCTTAATTATTTGCTGCACCTGCAAACCAACATCTTGTAATTCATGGACAAGGACACCTAGGTCTCTCCGCATAGCAACATGCTGCAATTTTTCTTACTTGGTGTATAAAAAGCGTTCTTGAATCATGAACAATTCTGTCAAATCTCCTCTTAAACCTCCTTAACTTAAAAAGGACAACCCCACTTTCTCCAGTTTGTCCATGTAACAGAAGTCACTGACTCCTGGTAGCATTCTACTTATTCTCTAAGCCTTGGTGTCCTTATCAGTAGCCCAGTTTTCCAGTTCATAGTGTCTCAAGGGTTCAGGGGAAAATACAGGGAAGTGGACATGAGGAATTCGGAATTGGCATGATCCTGTTGATTGGCAGAGCAGTCTGAGGGGGAGAACGGGGCCTGCTGCAGTTCCTATTCCTTATGGTCACCACATCTCCAAGCAGCGTGGTTTCAGTGTTTTCACTTAGAAATAGCTTGGTTTTTCGTTGTTCAAGAGAATATTTGAGGCCTATAGAGTGAAATGATTGTACCCATGATTTATCTAACAAAAGTTTGAAGCTATGGATATAATGCTCAGCATGAACATAGAACACAGAAGAGTACAGCACAGGAATGGGCCCTTCGGCCCATGATGTTGTGCCAAATACGACGCCAAATGAAACTAACCCCTTATTCCTGCCCTTGGTACATATATCTCCATTCCTTGCATATGCATGTGCTTGTCTATAAGTCCTTTAGATGCCCTTTTTTGTATTTGCCGCCACTACCTGGCAACACGTTCCAAACTCCTACCACTGAGTAAAAAACGTGCCCCTCACATAACCTTTGAACCTTACCCCCTCTTGCCTTAAATGTATGCCCCCCTAATACTAGACATTTCAACTCTGGGAAGAAGATTTTGACCGTCAGCCCTGTCTATGCATCTCATAATTTTATAGACTTCTATCAAGTCTCCCCTTAGCCTGTGCCACTTGAGAAAGCAACCAGAGTTTTTTTTTCTAGCCTCTCCTTTTAGCTCATACCCTCTAAGCCAGGCAGCATCCTAGTAAACCTCTTCCGCACCTTCTCCAAGGCCTCCACGTCCTTCCTGTAATGTGGCAACCAGATTTGATCACAAAACTCTAAGTGGGACCTAACCAAAGCCTTATAAAGCTGCAACTTGACATCCTGACTCTTGTACTCAGTTCTGTGACCAATAAAGGCAAGCATGCCATATGCTGCCTTTACTGTCCTGTCAACTTGCGTGGCCACTTTCAGAGAACATAGCAACAGAGGTAGGCTGTTCAGCTCTTTAAGACTGTTCCCAAATGAATGCAGTAATCACGGTCTGTTATTTCAGAAAATTATATTGAGGAAGTATGTATATAGGTTAAGTGTATGTGGCTGTACGAATTTTGAAAAATCGGCTTACTCGCTATATAAGAGGCTCGATACATAAACTACAGGGTGGTGCTTTGGTATTGTGTATTACAGGTCAGAAACCCATGCTACAGTATTATAACCCGACTGCTATCTCTCCATTCCTGTGAACAAGGTTTTTCTGCTGCGGTGCAGGATTGAAGAATTGTCACGGGATAATTTAACACTTGGCTGAAATAATTGAAAATTAAATAGAAATAACAAGGTTATACTATGTGACTTGTAATCATGTTACTCTGTTTGATATTGCATATAATGTTGACCAGGTCAGTTGCAGAGTCCACCGTGCCTTTTCAAATACTGCATTGGGCTCTTCAGTATCTTTCTGATACAATGAAATAAGCTGATCGTCAATGTTTAACACTCTATGAAGAGAATGAACCCTTCTAAGTCTGCAGTCCTGCTCCTATAGGCTAAAATGTCAACTGAGCTTCTGAGCTCAAGTCCTGAGTATGAGTGAGAGTTCACACTCTCTCTGAATACCCAAACTGACACTTAGGTTTGTTTAGAATGAAGCTAGTGAATAGAGTCATACAGCTCGGAAACAGACCCTTCAGTCCAACTAGTCCGTGCCGAAAAGGTTTCCCAATGTAAACTAGTCACATTTGCCTGCGTTTGGCCTGTATCCCTGTAGACATTTCCTATTCATATACCTGTCCAAATGTCTTTTAAATGTTGTAACCATAGCTGCATCTACCACTGCCTCTGGCAGTTCATTTCCATATATGAACCACCCTCTGGAAGAAGTCGCCCCTCAGGTCCCTTTTAATCTTTCTCCTCACATGTTAAAATTATGCCCTGTAGTTTTAAACTCATCAACTTAGGAACAGACCTTTGGTATTCCCCTTATCCTTCATGATTTTATAAATCTCCCCTCAACCTCTGACACTCGAATGAAGAAAGTCCCAGCCTATCCAGTCTCCTCTTTTATAATTCAAACCATCAGTCCCATTAGCCTCCTTGTAAATCTTTTCTGGACCTTTTCCAGAATTGCACATAGTACTCCAAAAGTGGCCTCCCCAACGTCCTGTACAACTGCAATATGACATCACAACTCCTATACTCAGTGGTCTGAGCACTGAAGGCAAGTTACCACCCTGTCTACCTGTGAGGCACCTTTCAAAGAACTATGTACCTGAACCCCTAGGTCTCTCTGTTTGACAGCGCTCCCCAGGGCCTTATGATTAACTATATAAGTTCTCCCCTTGTTCATCTTAAAATGCAACACCTCACATTTATCCAAATTAAACTCCATCTGATGTTTCTCGGCCCATTGGCCCTGTTGATCAAGATCCCTTTGTAATTTCAGGTAACCTTTAGTGTCTACCACCACCAATTTTGGTGTCATCCGTAAAATTACTAACCATGCTTCTTGTGTTCTCATCCAAATCATTCATGTAAATGACTGATCACTGCAGAACACTACTGAACATAGGGCTCCAGTCCAAAAAGCAACCCTCCCACCTTCATCCTCCCTCCTACCGTCAAGACCACATTTTACCCAATTGGCAAGCTGTCTCGGAATTCCATGTGATATAACTTTACAAACCAGTCTACCATGTGGAACCTTGTCAAAGGCCTTGCTTACAGTTCATGTAGACTATATCTACCTCTCTGCCCTCCTCGCTCTACCTTGACCATATCCTCAAAAAAACCCAATCAGATTTGAGAGACACAATTTCCCATGCACAAAGCCATGCTCTCTATCCCTAAACAGTCATTGCCTCTCCAAATGAATGTAAATCCTGTCTGAGTCCCCTCCAACAAATTAACCGCAACTGACGTCCGACTCACCAGTCTATAGTTTGCCAGCTTCTTGCAGCTGTTCTTAAATAAAGTCACAATATTAGTCCACTCTCCAATCTTCTGGCACCTCACCATGGTTGTAAATGATACAGATATCTCTGCTAGAGGCTCGGCAGTTTCTTCCTTAACTTCCCACAATGTTATAGGATACACTTGATCAGGTAATGGTCATACAGCATGGAAACGGACCTTCTGGCCCAGCTCATCCAAACCAATCAAGTGTCCCAAACTACGCTAGTCCAACTTGCCTGCATTTGGTCCATATCCCTCTTGTGGAGATTTATTTACCTTTTTAAGACTTCCAGCACCACCTCTTCTGTAATGCAGACTGTTTTCAAGACATCAATATTTATTTCCCTAGCTTCCATGTCTTTTCGTATCTCTCCCATCGTATGTAGTTCCACACGTAGCTGACCTCTAAGTGGTCCTGTTCTCTCCCTGGTTGTTCTTTTGCCCTTTAATATACTTGTAGAATCTCTTTTTGGATTATCCTTAACCTAATCTTCCAAGTCTATCTCTTTTTTTTTTTTTTTTTTTTTTTTTTGCCCTCCTGATTTCTCTCCTAAGTATGCCCCTACTTCCCTTTGTATTCTTAAAGAGATTCACTTGATCCTAGTTATCTATAACCTGACTCGGCCTCTTTATTCTCTTGGACTAGAGCCTCGATATCTCCAGTCATCCATTTTTCCCTACTACCAGCCTGCAGTTTACTCTAACAGGAACATACTGACTCTGAATTCTCAATATCTCACTTTTGAAAGCCTTCTACTTTCCAGTTGTCCCTTTTACCTGCGACCAGTCTACCCCGATCAACTTTTGAAAGTTCCTGTCTCATACAGTCAATATTGGCCTTACTCCAATTTAGAACGTTAACTTTTTGTACAAGGCCTCTCTTTTTCCATGATGGTTATAAAACTAATAGAATTATGATCAATGGTCCCAAAGTGCCCCCCACTAACAAATTCAGTCACTTGCCCTATGCTTTGTCTTAAATGCCTGACTGAACCAAGAACGTTCCTGCAGTGATTGTGACAAGGTCAACCAGGTGGACCTCAGAATGAGTTCCCAGATTGAACCAGATTAACAGCCCCAATCAGGGAGCTTTGGCTGACAGATAAGAACAGAGTCAGACATCCTGTTAACTGAGAGCTGGCTGAGGGAGCTGGATCTGTCAAGGATTCTCCGCATGTAAGTAGAGGGTGACGAGATACCGGCCTCTCTGGAGTTAGTTCAGTTCCTACTACTGTTTTATTATTGTTGATATCTGATTGAAGACATGTTTTATATCAATCCACTGCCATCAGTGATCTTTGAAAACTCTGCTACTCCATATTTCCTAGCTTTTTGCCATATATAAAATGCTCTGATCTATTTTTCTTGGGTCCAAAATTGATGACTTCACATTTCTCCACATTGATTGGATACACTTGTGGCAGATTAGAGTTTAATCAATCTGCAAATGTACTTGCAACTTGCTGTTCCCATCAACAGTTTGTGGTGCCATCTGCCTCTAGTGTCATCAACAAAGTGCAGATTGTGTGTCCAGGAATGCACAATGCCAAAGGCAAGATGTCATCTGCCTGTATGAATTTACCCAGTGTTTATAAACAGTTGTGTTGTAAGATACACTTTGCATACTGGTAACGCAGTGCTGACCTAGACGAAGATGAATTGGTGCATTTTTTTAGTAGAAAAGTGGGGGCTTGTTTTTCATTCAGAGGATGGGGTTGATACGGGCTGGGCTGACATTTATTGCCCATCCCTAGTTGTCCTCGAATGTGGTGATGAGCTGTGCTTTTGAATTGAAGTCCATTTGATATGGGTCTACCCATAATTCGATTAGGAAGTAAATTCCAGGATTTTGGCTCGGCAACACTGAAGGAGCAGTGATATTTTCAAGTCAGAATGGTGTGTGGCTCAGAGGGAAAAGTGTACCTGCTGCTTTTTGTTCTTTTTAGATGATGATGGTCATGAGTTTGGAAGCTGTCTAAGGAACTTTGGTGAATTTCTGCAGTGCATCTTGTAGATAGTACATATTGCTCCTACTGAACATCAGTGGTGGAGGGACTGTTTGTGGATGTGGTGCCAATCAAGCAGAGTGCTTTGTCCTGGATGGAGTCAAGCTTCTTGTGTGTTGTTGGAGCTGCACCTCATCCAAGCAAGTGGGGAGTATTCCATCACACTCCGGATTTGTGCCTTGTAGATGGTAGTCAATCTTTGGGAAGTCAGGAAGAGAGTTTCTCGCTGCACGACTCCCAGCCTTTGACCTGTTCTTGCAGTCACAGTAACTCTAAGACTAGTCTAGTTCAGTTTCTGGTTAGTGGAGGTTCTCAGTGATAGTGAAGTCATTGAATGTCAAGGGGTAGTTTAGATTCTCTCATGATGATGTTTATTGCCAGCTCTTGTGTGGTATGAGTGTCATTATTTGTCACTTGCCAATACAAGCCTGGATAATGTCTGGTCTTGCTGCAGTTGGGCATGTACCACTTCATTATGTGAGAAGTCATGAATGACGCTGAAGATTGTGCAATCATTGGGGAAACATCCCTACTTTTGGTCTTACGCTGGAGGGAAGGTCACACCACCACCACCACATGCACACTCCATGTGTCACTTCATATTTCAGAAGAATTCACTGATTCATAGTTTGATTGTAGCAGCCCTGACAAACTGTTTTTCAGCATGAGGCTAAAAAGCCTGTGTCAATCAAATGTAAATCTGGGACATAATTGTTTTTATTGTGGCTGCTTAAATCTGAAGAAAGAATGTAAAGTTCAAGAAATTCAGTGGGTCAGACAGCATCATTAGAGAGAAACAGTTGATGTTTCAAGTTGATGAACTTCTCCCCATTTTTCATCCACCTGAATATGTGATGTTCTCCATTTCCTCATCAAGACTTCAATTTTAAGATAGTAGCATTCTGGGATATACTCATTCTTCTTCTGTGCATGCTTTTTTTATACACCTGTTTTATTTTTCATCTCTTTGTTAGTTCAGAAGTTAACAGAATTACAATGTCCACTTTGTCCTCAACCATTTGCTCAAAAATAGTTCGATAATTGAACTTTATCTTCCTTGCCTTTACTCTTTTGATTTCTCCTATTGTTTCAACCTCTGGCTTTGTAACCTTGTTGCCACAGTCTGGAAAATTCCAAGGATATACTTCCTGTAATACTTCTGTGAGCTCACTTGGTTCACGAGATGCACTGCCTGCTCCCTTGGCCCAATTCCATTAAACTGCTAACCAGCATCCTTACTTTCCGTATTAGCTGATATTGTTAACTCTTGGTATTTCTCATGTATTGTCCCCCATTGTTTTAAATCTTCCATCATCATTCCTGTCTTCAAAACATGAATCTTTTATTGGTTGGGATGTCATGTTACATCTGTACAAGGCAATGGTAAGGCCACGTTTGGAGTACTGCATACAATTCTGGTTGTCCTGCTTATAGGAAGGATGTTATAGAATCATAGAATTTTACAGTACAAAAAGAGCCCATCACGTCTATACGGCTCCCAAAAGAGTTGTGAAGTCGTCCCATTCTCCAACCCTATCTCTAGTTCTCTAAATTCATCACTCTCAAATAAATATCCAGCTCTCTTTTGAAACCTCCTAAGGAATTCACCTCCACCACTCTCCCAGGTAACATACTCTAAATTCTAACAACTCTGTGTAAAGTTTCTTCTCATCATGTTATTAAACAGGAAAGGGTGCAACAAGTGATTTACAAGGATGTTACTGAGACTGGAAGGTTTCAGTTATAAAAGAAAAGCTGGGTAGGCTAGGATTTTTTTCCCCTTGAGCAAAGGAGACTGAGAGGTGTCTTTGTAGGAATTTGTAAAATAATGAGGGTGAATAGGTTTTTAGGTGAACAGCCAAGGTCTTTTTCCCTAAGGTAGGTCAATCCAAAACTAGAGGGCATAGATTTAAGGTGAGCGGAAAGATTTAAAAGGAAAGAGGGTGGTGCACGTATGGAACAATCTGCTAGCAGAAGTGGAAGAGGTGGGTACGATAACAACATTTAAAAGCCATTCGGATAGGTATGTGGATAGGAAAGATTTAGAGGGATATTGGCTAAACACAAGCAAATGGGATTAGTTCAGTTTAGGAAACCTGGCTGGCATGGACGATTTGGGCCAAAGGGCCTATTTCCATCCTGTATGACTCTGACCTTTCACTAGACCTTTCACTTTCAGTTCGTTTTGTAATCTTACTTCTGATGGTCAGAGATTTGTGTCTGGTACGTGTCCTCCATGATTGCAGATTGAATATGAATGTTTTGTATTTTATACAGGAGAGAAGAAAGTTAAAACTCAGAAAAGTGATGCTGCTGTTTGTGGGAAGCATAGTGAGAATTATGATCATAATAGGACTCCTGTTTCTCCAGGGCCATCTGTAAGTTCAGTGTACTATACGTGCATTTTTGATGTGATCCACAGGCTAATTTAATGGGTTTACTGTTTTTCCCTTTAACCTGACGTCAGACTGCATTTGTACTGTCAAGGAAATGGATAAGGGGGATGTTTTTGTAAAATATATAAATGAAGTTTAAAAGTCCTGTGCTCTGTTCTTTTTCAGCTATCGTCAGCTGTAAAGGGAAATAATGAGGAATCTACACTGGTGCCAGTAGCTGGTAAGATTCTTTGCTGTAGGAGTAAATTACTGCAGATGCTTGAATCTGTACAGAAAACAAAATGCTGGAGATCACAGTGAGTCAGGCAGTATCAGTGGGGAGACAGAGCAAGCTAATGTTTCAAGTCTAGATGATTCTTCACTAGCTCTGTTGAAGAGTCATCTAGATGTGAAATGTTAAGATACTTGCCTACTTCCAACAGTGACTTGTATTGCACAGTTATGATGACACACCAGTATTGATGATTGGAAACAAACTATTATCGAAGAGACAGTGTTAATATGCTAAAATAGAAAATAAGTGATTTAATCCCATCTTTTCAGAGTTACATTACTTCTAAACCCCTCCATCCATCCCAAAAACAACCGCAAGATTCAAAAAGATGCGAATATTGATACCCCCAGAAATTTGTGCTTGGTAAAATGCTTGCAGATGTCACTTTTTAAAATATTCTTCACATCTCCTACATAACAGGAGTTAGATGAGCCAATTCCACTTGTAAGCATGTAATCTGCGTAGAAATTAAATCCTCTTTAGGAAGGTGGTTGAGCAATCAGCTGGTAGCCCGCTTCAGAATACAACTGGCTAATTTCTCAAATAATTCCAGAGGCTGGTACCCTGTCACCAAGTCACCCTTCATTTACATGTGGAGAGTCTTTGACACTGATCCAGCTCTGTGTGTACAGGATGTCTGTCCTTACGTCAGCCAGGGCTCCCTGACTGGACCAGATTAACAGCCCCAATCGGGGAACTCCTATTCTGAGGTCCACCTGGCTGACCTTGTTATAATCACTACAACTCTTCCCCTCAAAGTCAGAGGATTTAGGCTGGTTCTTTTTTCTGTAGCTCCTCTTGGGGCATTTTAGCACCAGGTCAGGTTTGTCCAACCCTGCTGATAACTGACAGTATGTTACGCACGGTAGCTCGCCTCTTGCATCCAGAGCATTTCAAAAGAAATTTATGCTCCTCTTCAGGCAGCAAAGGTGTCCAGGTGGTGACATCCGCCATGTCCATCTCAGATTCCGAGATATCTTCAGCTTTTGACAAAGAGGGAGAACTTGTGGGTTCCAGAACAGTCAGAAAGGCTGTTGAGATGGGCATGTTTTGCTCCTGGACAATTTACAAGTTTGCAGTTTTCATATGGTCCACATGCTTTCAGAACCACTGCACCTATCTAAAGTTCATGCATCACTGGTCCTGACCTCACATCGACCATGCCCCTTATCCATGCAGGGCTATTCCTCTGGTTTCTACACCAAACTTTGTCCCATGAAGTAAACTGTCTCTCTCACTTAGTGGAGTGTTGTGTCTGGCATTGGTGTTCCTGATGCTGTTTCACCACCCCCCCAGATCCAGTAAGATCGGATTTAACCTAGTGTGAAGTGTTGTCCCCGTTAGCAACTCTGCTGGAGCTATCTTTGTAGTTGTGCGAGGGGTGGTCCAAAGATCAAATATGAACTGGGAAAGTTTGTTATGTGAAGGTGTAGGCTGGTTCTTTAAGCCTGCCTTCAAAGTTTCGACTGCTGTTTCTCTCGGACCATTGGATGATGCATGGTATGGAGCTGTCTTTGTATGTCAAATATCATTCGACTTTAGGAAATTCACAAATTCCCCACTTGTAAATGATGGCCAGTTACCTGTGACCAACGCTTCTGGGAGCCTGTGTATCATTAAAGATGCGTGCAGTTTTTCTATTGTTGTCTGTGTTTGATGAATGAATTCTGCATAGCCAGCCACTTTGAGTGGGTATCTACAATGATTAAGAACATTGAGCCCATTAAAGGGCTTGCATAATCAACATGTAACCAAGTCCAGGGTTTACCCAGCCACTCCTATGAATGTGGGGAGCTGCTGCCAGTAATTTTTGTCCTTGTTAGCACGCTGGGCACTGCCCCACCAACATGGTTCTGTCTGCATCCAGTCCTGGCTACCATACATAATATCTTGCCAATTTCTTCATTTTGGAAGCTCCTGGATGACCCTGGTGGAGTTCAAGCAGTATCTAGCAGTGACTTTTGCTTGGGACAATCACTCTTGCTCCCCATGATATGCTATGCTATCCTTTGATCTGGTCTCTCCAGGGCCAAAACGTTTTCAGTTCTTGTTGTGGCGGCCCTTTGGTTTCCCCCATCATAGAACATAGAACATTGCAGCGCGGTACAGGCCCTTCGGCCCTCGATGTTGCGCTGAGCTGTGAAACCAATCTGAAGCCCATCTAACCTACACTATTCCATTATCATCCACATGTTTATCCAATGACCATTTAAATGCCCTTAAAGTTGGCGAGTCTACTTCTGTTGCAGGCAGGGCATTCCACGCCCTTACTACTCTCTAAGTAAAGAGAGTAGCTGTTTCACCAGCTGTTTCAGTTTTGTGAGGACTGGATTTTTCTGTGTCCAAAGTCGGATAGTCAATTGTGACTGGAAGTGTGTCCAGAAAATTTAAAACCATAATGGACCCTTCAGTGGCAGTACCACCAGTGTTGTATCTGCCATCAGGATGTGGCTCAGTGCATCCGCGTTCACTGCTTGGCCTCCCAGACAGTGTTCCAACTTGTAATTACATGCACTCAGAATTAAAGCACAGTGCAAAATTCGTCCTGAAGCTACAGGCATCACTGCCTTGTCCTCTTTAAGTAGACCTAGTAGGGGTTTGTGGTCTGTTGTTATTACAAATTTATGTCAGTAAAGATATTGGTGGAACTTCTTGACTCTGAATATGACTGCCAAACCTTCCTTCTCTATCTGGGCATATCCTGGATGCATATGCTATTGGGCGTTCCTCACTATTGAGCTACCTATGAGCTAATACTATCCTTTTGCCCTATGGGGAGACATTGCTTGTCAATACCAGATCTTGCTTGGGATTGGAGTGTGCCAAATACCTTCAAGGATGATAGCTGTTTCTGCGCTTCCCTGAGAGCTATGGCTTGGCTGTGTGACCATTTCCAAGGCTGATCCTACAAGAGTTAATGCAAAGGTGCCAGCATGGAGACCAGGATTTGTGAACTTTCCATAATTCACCAGCCCAAGCAAAGACCTAAGCTCCAATACTGACATGGGAGCCCTCACTTTATCTTCCAGCGGATGTAATCTGGTCTTACTCCTAGCCCAAGTAGGTCACTTGGGTGCCTGGAACATACCTTTTTCCCTTCCAAAGTGTATGCTTGCTTGGGAGAAAGGTCTCTGTCCAAGTTAAGTGCTCCTTATTGGTTTTTTCCTGTTATTAGTACGTCATCTAGCTGGATGACGACCAGGGGCAGACCTTGTAAAATATTCTCCATCATCCACTAAAAAATTGCACAGGCCAAAGATACCACAAGTGGCAGTCTCGTATTGATACAAGCCCTCATGGGTATTAATTGTAACATACTTCTGGGAGTCCTCATCTGACAGTAATTGCAAGGCTTATTTCCAGCAGGGACAGCAACCCCTGCCAGCTTCGCACATAAATCCTCTATGCAAGAGATTGGGCATTTATCCAGTTGCAAAAAGCAGTTTACCATTCGTTCAAAAGCCCCACAAAGTGGGTACCGACCCACTGGGCTTCACAAATCAGTACAACCCGGTGCTGTCCGTTTTGCAAACTGGACTGGTTTGATGATTCCTTTGCTTTCCAGCCTCTGGTTTTGGCTCTATCTTTGGTCATCAGACAAATGGCATTGCTGGGCCTTGCAGAATCGTGGCCGTGACTCCTTTGATAGTCCCTAAACCTTCATGAAAAGCTTCTGGGTATCAGGGCTTCACTTAGGCAGCCATTTTCTAAATAGATAAATGTTGATCCATTCTAGGTGAATCTTTCTTACCTGTTTTCACCCCATCGAGCTTGGACACAAGTCTTTTACTACAATCAGTAGTAACTGAACCAGCTGCTTCTCATAAACCAGAATCAAAGTTGTAGCTTCAATCTGTAAAGGTTCCCTGGTATAGGTTCTCAGTCCAGCCGAGGTCTTGTGCAAATTTAAGGATTGGAGTCCAGAGCAAATTTTGTTAAAGGCCAGTTCTGTGATCACTGTCAAAGTGAATAGAATGACATTCATGTTTATACCTGTCAGCCAGGGCTCCCTGATTAGGGCTGTTAATCTGGTCCAATCAGGGAACTCATACTTTATGAGGACCACCTAGCTGACCTTGTTACACTCACTGCAATTTCCTTCTTTGAAATGAAAACTGCCGTACTGATCAGGAAATCTATGATGATCCTTTTGTTGCAGCAAACACTTGGATCTAAGAGCAACAAGAATTTTCTGCCTTGAGGTTTCATGTTATGGCAAATGTAGAGAGCTGATCTTCTGTTTATCTGGTTCTTTTAAGGCTGCGAAATGCAAAGATCAAACTTTCTGAATTTGGACTGTTTAAACTGCCACTTTGTGGATGTTCTTTAAACAACCTGTTCAGCCATGTTATGGCATACCTCTGGAGCAGGTGGGACTTGAACCCAAGTCAAAGGCAGGACACACCCAGTGCGCCATAAGAGCCCTAACTACCACTTTATTATTGGGAGCTAAATAATGGGTCCAAGGAACCTGAAATTGGTTGACCACTTAGCACAATTGATAATACCCAGTTAATTGTTGAGTGGAGAGGAGGTCATAAGACATAGCAGAAATTAGGCCATTCAGCCCATTGAGTCTGCTCCACCATTCCATCATGGCTGATAAGTTTCTCAACCCCATTCTCCCACTTTCTTCCCCTAACCCTAGATTCCCTTGACAATCAAGAACCTATCTATCTGTTAAACATACTGAATGACCTGACCTCCACAGCCTTCTGTGGCAGTGAATTCCATAGATTCACCACTCTCTGACTGAAGAATTTTCTCCTTCTGTCCAATCTAAAAGGTCTTCCCTTTACTTTAAGGCTGTGCCCTCGGGTCCTAGTTTCTCCTACAAATGGAAACATCTTCCCAACATCCACTCTGTCCAGGCCATTCAGTATTCTGTAAGGTTCAATTAGATGCCCCCTCATCCTTCTAAACTCCATCAAGTATAGACCCAAAGACCTCAAACGTTCCTCGTGTTAAGCTTTCCATTCCTGGGACCATTCTCGTGAACCTCCTCTGAACTCACTCCAGGCCCAGTACATCTTTCCTGAGGTGGCTCAAAACTGCACACAATACTCCAAAAGTGGCCTGACCAGAGTCTTCTAGAGCCTCCGAAGTACATCCCTGCTTTTATATTCAAGTCCTCTCAAAATAAATGCCAACATTGCATTTGCCTTCCTAACTACTGACTAGAACACCCAAGTCTTTTTGCACTGGATTTTCTCTCCATTTAGAAAATAATCCATGCTTCTATTCTTCTTACCAAAGTGCATGACCTCACACTTTCCCATGTTGTACTCCGCCTGCCACTTCTTTGCCGACTCTCCTAACCTGTCCAAACCCTTCTACAGCCTCCCCGCCTCCTCAATACTACCTGTCCCTCTACCTATCTTTGTATCGTCTGCAAATGTATAAAGTGAAAAGTTGTGGTCCCAACACTGACCCTTGTGGAACACCACTTGTCACTGGCTGCCATCCTGAGAAAGACCCTTTTAACCCCACTCTCTGCTTTCTGCCAGCGAGCCAATCTTCTACCCATGCTAGCACCTTGCCTCTAACACCATGGGCTCATTTCTTACTCAGCAGCCTCCTGTGCAGCACCTTGTCCAAGGTCTTCTTGAAGTCCAGGTAGATAACATCCATTGGCTCTCCTTGGTCTAACCTGCTCGTTACTTCCTCGAAGAATTCTAACAGATTTGTCCGGCATGACCTCCCCTTGACAAAGCCATGCTGACTTTGCCCTATTTTACCATGCACTTCCAAGTATTCAGAAATCTCATCCTTCGCAATAGACTCTAAAATCTTACCCACGACCGAGGTTAGGCTAATCGGTCTGTAATTTTCAGTCTTTTGCTTTACTTCCTTTTAAAACAGGGGTGTTACATTAGCTATTTTCCAGTCCTGTGGGACCCTCCCTGACTCTCGGGATTCCTGAAAGATCACCACTAATGCCTCCACTATGTCTTCAGCCATCTCCTTAAGAACTCTGGGGTGTAGTCTGTCTGGTCCTGGTGACTTATCCACCTTCAGGCCATTCAGTTTTTCTAGCATCTTCTCTTTGGTGATGGCCACCATACTCAGCTCTGTCCCCTGACTCTCTTGAATTTTTGGGATAGTACTTGTGTCTTCCACTGTGAAGACTGACACAAAGTAATTATTCAGTTCCTCAGCCATTTCCTTGTTCCCCACTACTATCTCTCCATCATCATTTTCCAGCGGTCCAATGTCCGCTTTTGCCTGTTTTTTTACCCTTTTAACTATCTAAAGAAACTCTTACAATCCTCCTTTATATTACTGGCTAGGTTACCCTTGTATTTAATCTTCTCCCGCCTTTTTTTTTTTTTGCTGCCCTCTGTTGGTCTTTGTAAGCTTCCCAATCCTCTGGTTTCCCACTGCCCTTCGCTACATTATATGCTTTCTCTTTTGCTTTCATGCTATCCCTCGTCAGTTGTGTACCATTGTCCGTATTGCATGCTTCTTTTTCCTAGGGATAAACTTTTGCTGTGTCTCTTGCATTACTCCTAGAAACTCCTTCCAGTGCTGTTCCACTGTCTTTCCTGCTAGACTCCTCTCCTAGTCAATTCTGCCCAGCTCCTCCCTCATGCCTCTAGTTGCCTTTATTCAGCTGCAATACCATCACCTCTGATTCTATCATCTTCCTCTCAAATTGCAGAGTAAATCAATCCTATTATGATCACTGCTTCCTAAGGGTTCCTTCACTTTAAGCTCCCTTATCAAGTCTGCTTCATTGCACGACACTAAATCCAGCATTGCTTGTTCCCTAGTGGGCTCCACCACAAGTTTCTCCAAAAAGCCATCTCGTAGACATTCCACAAATTCCTTTTCTTGCAATCCACTACTGATTTTCCCAGTCCATCTGTGTATTGAAATCCCTATGATCACCATAACTCTGCCTTTCTTACAAACCGTTTCTATCTCCTGATGTGTCTTGTGTCCCTACTCTTGACTACTGTTTGGAGGCCTGTACATAATTCCAGCTATGGTTTTTTAACCTCTGCGGTCCCTCAACTGTGCCTACACAGATTCTATACCATCTGGCCCTACTTTGTTTCTTACTTTTGATTTAATTTCATTTCTTACTAATAAGGCAACCCCACCTGCCGATCTTTTCGATAAGGTCTTAAAGTAATGGATGCATAACTGTTACAAATTCATTTTAAGAAGCAATTTTAAGAATTGTTTTGTAGGAAAGAGGTTTAGTGCGGGAATTCCAGAATATGGATCTTGGACAGCTAAAGGCATGGTATTCATTGGCAGGATAATAGAAATTGGAGATGTACTGGAAATCAGAGTCCGAGTCATCAGGGGATACTAAAGAATGAGGGACAGAGTGATGGAGGGATTTGATCATGAGGATCAGAATCTTAAATCTGGGCTGATGCCAGACTGAGGGTCATTATACACTTGTGCCATGTATTTTTATGGTATTGCTGATGCAACAAATTGTCAAAAGCAAAAGCTGAGCATTGTGCAGTGGTGAAATGTCAGCTCACCATTCTTATCTCACCATGGCTTGATGCCCATTTTTAGCTTTGGGGCAATATAGCTAAAAAGGAAGGCTTGTATTTAACAGCACCTTCCACAAGACCATCCCAAAGGGCTTAACAGCCACCTTACACTCATTAGTATAACGTAGGAAATATGACAGCTAATGTGTATGTAACAAATTTCCTTTGTGATTGAGGAATAAATATTGCCCATGTCACCAGGGATAAGGCTCTGCTTCTCTTGAAAACAGCTATGCTATGGATTCCTTTAATGTCTACCTGAGAGAGAACTGGTGCCTTGATTTAACATCTGTCATCACTGACAGTGCAGTATTGATTCAATACTGGACAAAATGGCTGTCTGGATTTTTGTGGTCACATCCCTGGACTGAGATTTCAATTCCTCAATTTTCTGAATGCTACCAACTGAGCAACAACTGGTACAATGAAGTAGCAAGGACGTTTGTGTGTAATATATGGTTAGTTCATTAGGTTTTTTTTAAATTGCCCACAAAATGGGAGCATTGAACTGTTTCCGATGTCCTGTTCATCCATCACTTCTGTGCTCCCTTGACTTGCCATGACTTATGGTTCACCAACTCCATTATTAAAATTTTTTTATTCTCCAACTCTGAACAGGTTTAACTACCAAATTTATTTAAATAAGAAAGTAGAAAGGAGTGGTTTGAGATGACCAGCATCGATGCATTTAAGGGGTAGAACATGATGAAAGGAGGACTGAAGAATGTGCTGATGATGATGGATTAAGAAATTTGGCGGGAGATTAGTGAATAGTACAATCACTATATGCTTGGTCACACCAAATCTACAGTGGTTCACTTAACATGAAAAAGTTCTGGTGCAGGATGGAAAATGGTATTCTGGATATGTGGTATGTTTCTGTTGTATTCTTGCGCCAACACAACTTAAACAAAGAAATCTTAGTTAGAATGAGAAGGTAGTATCTTTATTGTCCTTGCAACCAATTGTGTTGGTTGAAGGAGGGACATTCATCATAACACCAGGATGACCGGCTACTCTTCAAGTAGTATCATGCCCCATCCAAAAGCCAATCCAGCAATGCGTTAGAGTGGCAGAAGTGAACATCCTGACTTGTAAAGGTGATTCTTACCAAACAGACATTCTGCAAAACGTACTGGTCTGCTGCCAAACAAAATGGGAAGAATGGTGCATTTAGCGCCAAAACCCCTCTTTCAGTTCTTGATGCATAATATTTTTAAATACCAGGACTGAGAACTTTTTAACTTTGATCTATTTTCAAATATAATTATTGCAGGAACTCCCTTTCGCCTTCTCCTCGAGAAAATTGCAGTTTCCCCCCATGGTGAGGAGTATAGAGAATGGGACTCTCTTTCCCAGACGGAGGCTCCTGGCACAAAGGAACTACCACCAAGAAGTCTAGTCATACACCAGCAAGAGGATGCACATTTGGCTTTCTTAGGTAAATAGAACATCAATTAAAAACAAAATATTGTAGATTCTAGAACTCTCAAATTAAAAACAAAGTGCTGGAGCACCTCAGCAAAACTAAAGTTTTGAATGAGAGATTTAAAAAGACATGAGGGGCAATTTTTTTTTTTTTTACACAGAGGGTGGTTCATGTGTGGAATGAACTTTGAGGGGATATGGTGGATGCAGGTACAATTACAATGTTTAAAAGACATTTGGATAAGTAAATGAATTGGAAAGGTTTGGAGGGATATGGGCCAGGAGCAGGCAAGTGGGGATAGTCTAGTTTGGGATTATGTCTAGTATGGACTGGTTGGACCGAAGGGTCTGTTTCCTTGCTGTATGGTTCTATAACTCTACATCAGAGCGAAGAACGTCATAAAAACAATGTTGTGCTAATTTGAGTTTTTGCATGTTAAAAGGTGTTGAGATTGTGCAACATTGCCCAGTCCAGAAATGCATTGAGTAATTTATTGGGGAGATGGGGTAAAGTGAAAAGATCTGAGTTTGTTGCTGCACAAAGAAGGTTTGGACATTCCAACATTGTAACAAATGAAGTCGATCTTTTGATATCTTTGCAGTATTCTATTTTGGAATTCTTGTCTTTGACCAAATCAAATTAACTTTATTAAATGACCAGTGTTGGTTTTTTAAGAAATTGTGAGAAATCTTATTCTCTGAGTCACCTAGAGGTCATAGTACTCAGAATCAGTCAATCACTCACTCCTGTGTTTGTTGCATTAACTGAAATCGTGTGACACATTGAGCAGGTCAATGGCTTTGACTGTGGAGTTCAGAATGAATTTTCTTTTCATCATAGAGTCATCAGCATTGGAGCAGATCCTTTGGACCAATCAGTCCATGCCGAACGTAATCCCAAACTAAGCAAGTTCCATCTACCTGCTCCTAGCCCATATCCCTCCAAACCTTTCTTATTCATGTACTTAACTAAGTATTTTTTAAACAGTTTATAAATGATTATTTTAATAGCTTTGTAAGGATGTCGGCATCGCTGGCAGAGCTAGCATTTATTGTCCCACCTTGAAGGATTTATAACTTGTTTTTTTAAAGTGTAATAATACTTCTCTTTTTCTTTGATATAGAGGGCTATTCACAAATGATATCATCAACACAGCCTAAAGAAGAAATGCAAATGCAGAAACTTCCAGAAAGATTGGAAAACATTTCTGATACAGCATCAACAGCCATTGATGTAGCATCAAGGAACCTTAAGATTGTGCAGGATGAGAAACAGTGTGCAAATGCAGTGGGTCTGAGTTTCAAATCTGCAAAAGATCTGCTATCAAATGGGGACATTAAAAAGCCATCACAGGATGCTTTGTATTGGTCAAATTCAGTAGGTAAGGACTGTTCTGCAGAGTCATTTGAAAAGGATCAGGTAGATTCAAAATCAACGGTAAAAGGGAAACTGCAGGTTATCAGATCAACAAAAGGGCAGGACATTCTTCAAAAACTGGCTAAGAAGGTGCAAGAGGCTGGAATTAAACCATGGACTTGGAAATCAAAACGTGAAGATTCAGAAAATGTCTCTCAAAACTTGTTCGACAGTGAGAGCAAGTCAATGCAATGTTTCCAAAAGGCTTCCCCCTCCGTTAATGAGAGCTCTGTTACCCAGTATGTGTATACAGAGACTCCTGATCTCCTTGTGGAAGATAAAAGCTTACATGACCTTCTGCCAGGCCAAACATTGAAGCATGCTGCATCGTTGAACAAAGGAGATGCAGATCAATTGGAGGCTGAGCTAGACATGGATTCAGTTTCCTCTGATGGTTCTACAACAGCAACATGCGCAGTCAGGGAGCCCAAAATATTTATATCTTCCGTGGACATTCATTCTGCCAATGAAGCAAATGCAAATGGGGGCTATTTGTTACTAGATTCCACACAGTAGAATTTGAAATTAAAAGTCTCTGACTCTTAACATGATACTGTCTACACTGTATTCCATTGCTGTGCTCATGATCTTTCCACGCCTTAATAGAAAGACTTGTCTGGGCAATAGAAGGCCAGAACATTTGGGCAGCTTTTGGAATAACTGAGCCCTAACCAAGACAAGTTTTGAAATTTAATTGCACAGACTGTACCCTATGCTAATGTTGGATTTGATCAACTCAAAGTTTACACACAGCCCTTTTAAGCTGTTCAAGAAAGTCTTGCAAAGTTACTTCCCTCATCCAGCCGAAAATGAGAATGGAAAGGATTAACTGTATGAGCAAATAGAATTGCAAGTTGTAGAGATGCAATATTAACACTATTGAGGGTGGAAGGGTTGGAAATCGAACCAGACTGATCATTGCAATTCCAATGTGAAGAACACATCCCTGAAAATTAGAATATCTGTCAGAGTGTTTGTATTTATGAAGATATCAACAGTAATAAACTCACTCCTCCGTCGCATCCCACATAGGTCAGTACTTGAGGCAATCTGCTTAATTTACCAAAAAAGTGTTCTTTCTTATGTCAGTGAGAAAACCCAGATTTTTGCCTTATTAGGAAACAAAACGTTTGTGCAGTTTTAAGAGAACAAGTTCACTTCACGTGTTAAGATCTGAATTTCTGAAGGCTGGGGCCCCACTGTGGTAAACGCTGAATTGCTTGCTCTGCATAACCTACAGTGATAGTGGACGAATCTAGAATGTTAAAATGTGCATAACCTTTTATAAATTTGGACGTTGTACTTCACAGTATAGGTTGGAACTTCGGTCCAAGTTTAAATATGGTCTTACATGGAATGAATATATTTTGCAGAAATACACATGCACAATTTTTTCCCATTTATAGCTGTTAGTTTTCAAATATCCAGCAGTTTGCAACTGTCTTTCATTTATGTTTTCTCCTCCAGGTTTTCAGTTTGTATTTAAAAGTTTTGAAATCTTACAATAATGTTAAAGTAGATGAGAGGGCAGATAGAGTCTTAAGAAAATTTGGACCTCTTCTAAAACAACTGCTTGTGGGCTCTAATAGAAAGGACTCAGCTGATTAGGGACTTCAAAGATGTAAATTCTTCAAGAATTACACAATGCACAGTTATGTAACAATGCACTATTGTGGGAATTTTGTACTACGCTCCGAATAGCCTTTCTTGGGGTAATATGTAACACTGTTCAATGTACTTGCTCTTGATTGTGAGAGTAGCCATTTTCTTTTGATGTTGAGTTATTGGATATGAAACTAATTTCCTCTTGGAGCTGGTGCCTCATCCTGGCAAAAACTGGAGTGATGAAGATCGGATGCAGCAGTGGATGAAGTTTATGATTATTCTGAAGTAGCCCATAGCTTGCTTAGGGCAACTCCATTGTTGTGAGCTGTAGGCATAAAAATCCAGTTCTCTCCATTGTATTGTTTTGGCGAATGGCCCACATAGCTTGGGTATGTGGAGAATCATGCTATTATCCTCTCATAGCATTTCAGTACAGAGGCTTCGATCTAGTGTCCAGCATCTGTATAAACCTGTTCTAATTACTTGGCTTTGATGACGATATCCTTCATGTGCCTCGTTTCTGGAAGTCTCACACCTGTTATTCATATAGATCACTCATTTTCTATTTCTGTTCTTTTTAATTGGATTTCCGTTTTCAACTTGTGGATCTGAATTTTGAGAGCTGCTGTTAACACTTACCTCAGAAATGGGCAAATCCCATATTAGGGCTTCAAGATTGCCTATAAATAAACTCGTATGCAACTTGTTGAGAACTGGGTGTCTACAGGATTCCTTGTTTTGTATATTTCCAGTGCAGTAAGATTGCATGGGCACCCGTGGGTGTGATGGTTTATTAAAGCGAATTACTGCAGATGCCTGAAGTCTGAAATAAAAACGGAAAATACTGGAGAAACTCAGCAGGTCAGCAGCATCTGTGGAGAGAGAAATAGAGTCAATGGTTCAAGTTCAATATGACTTCTTCAGAACAGTCATATCGAACTTGAAATGGTAACATTATTTCTCCTCTCTTCTCTCTTTCTTTTCTGTCTCTTCCCACCACCTGACCTCTCACATGCTGCCAGACCTGTTGAATTTCTCCAGCATTCCGTTTTGATGGTTTATTTCTGTACTTTGCCATAAGTCTGCTCCTTTTGTATTTATTACGACAGATTCTGGATGCTGAGTAGGATGATTGGTCCAGGTGATAAATTAGGATATCTCATTGGAAAAATACAGTTTGTTTTTTTTTAATTTCCCTTTTGAGTCTTCTCACTGCACAGTGTATTTTACTATATACTACACACATTTCAAGGATTATCTTTCACTGGATTTTAGATTGCTGCATGGGGTGCATATTTAGTCATATAGTGGATTTGAAGAGGTAGTGATCTGTTCTACCTCCTTATAATTTGGATTCCACTATCATGAGGAACGTTCCTCAGATGCTTTTCTCCCCCTGCTTCTTGCCCCCAGGTTTGGCATTTTCTTTAAAAAAAAAAGTTGTGTGAAAATGGCCTTTTCTATTGCTGATTTAGTGTTAATTTGTGTATTTCCTGTATTGTCTCAAATCCTTTTGAAATTACAGACCTGACTTGACAATAGTAGGTTTAGTACATTGGAAGTTTGAAATGTGACATAGAAACATAAAAGATAGAAGCAGGAGGCCATTTGGCCCTTCGAGCCTGCTCCATCATTCATCATGATCTTGGCTGATTTGTCTAACTCGGTAGCTTAATCCTGCATTTTCTCCATAACCTTGGATCCCATTTGCCCCAAGCAGTATATCTAGCCGCCTCTTGAATACATTCAGTTTTTTGGAATCAACTACTTCCTGTGGTAATGAATTTCACAGGCTCACGACTATTTGGGTGAAGAAATGTCTCCTCATCTCCCTCCTAAATGGTCTACACCGAATCCTCAGACTGTGACCCATGGTTGTGGACACATTCACCATCGGGAACATCCTCCCTGTATCTACCTTGTCTAGCCCTGTTAGAATTTTATAAGTTTCTGAGACTCCCCCCTTCATTCGTCTGAACAATCATAAACTATTCAATCTTTCCTCATGTCAGTCCCGCCATCGCTGATATCGGCCTGGTAAACCATTGCTGCACTCCCTTGAAAAGGAGACCAAAAATGCACATAGTATTCTAGATGTGGCCTCAACAAGGCCCTGCATAACTGCAACAACACATCCCTGCTCCTGTGCTCTAAATCTCTCACAATGAAGGCCAGCATACCATTTGCCTTCTTGACTGCCTGCTGCACCCGCATGCTTACCTTCAGTGATTGGTGCACAAGGACACCTAGCTCCTGCTGCACAATCGCCTCTCCCAATTTACAACCATTCAGGTAAAGTGAATAACCTCACATTTATCCAAATTATACTGCATCTGCCATTGATTTCTCCACTCACCCAACCTGTCCAGATCATGCTGAAGGATCTCTGCATGCTCGTCACAGTTCGCCCTTCCACCCAAATTGGTATTATCTGCAAACTTGGAGAGGTTACATTTTGTTTTCTCATCCAAATCATTAATATATATTGTGACTAGCTGGGGTCCCAGCACCCCACTAGTTACTGCCTGCAAATTTGAAAAGGACCATTAATTCCTGTTCTTTGTTTTCCCCTCTGCCAACCAGTTTTCTATCCATCTCAATGCACTTCCCCAATCCCATGCACTTTAATCTTGCACAATAATCTCTTATGCTGGACTTTGTCAACCCCTTTCTGAAAGTCCAAATATACCACATTGACTGGCTCCCCCTTGTCAACTCTACTAGTTACATCTTCATAGAATTACAACAGATTTGTGAAGCATGATTTCCCCTTCACAATTCCATGCTGACTCTCTGATCTTGCCACTGCTTTCTAAATGCTGTGCTATAAAATCCTTGATAATGGATTCGAGAATTTTCCCAACTACTGATAGTTAGTTAGGCTTACTGGTCTATAATTCCCTGTTTTCTCTCTACCTCCTTGTTTGAATATTGGAGTAACATTAGCTACCCTCCAATCTGCAGGAACTGTTCCAGAGTCTATAGAATCCTGAAAGATGACCACCAATTCATTTGACAGCTTCTAGACCCATTTCCTTAAGTACTGTAGGATGTAGATTACCATGCCTTGGGGATTTATCGGCCTTCAATCCTATCAATTTTCCTTGCACCTTTTCGTTCCTGATGTTGATCTCCCTCAATTCTTCCTTCTCACTATATCTTGCGTCCTCCAACATTTCTGGTATCTGACAAATTTTTAGAATATGTAAGAACTCAAAGGTCCTTGTACAGTTTCTAAGATAGGTTATCTCATCTTTAGATAGGAATATTACTGCAGAAAAGCAAAACTGGCAGTATTCACTTATTTGGATGGGAACACTACACTACAGCTGTTAAAACACTACTTTAAGTGCTAGTGTTCATGTTCTCTCTGTCTGTTACACTAAGGATTATGATCTAGTCAGTTTAACCATTTTAGAAATTGCTTCAATGTCAGGACTGGTAACTGTTTATTTTAGAAAAGGAAATAAGTCAGAAACCAAATTTTTTTAAACTAGCAAACCTATATTGACTTTTCTTAATGTCATTCATCACCTATTCTTTGCCAAGTATTTGAGCCATAATCAGTTAATGTAATAGAATCCAGCTTTGATTTTTTTTTCACGTGTTTAATGAACTGTGTTGTAGGAAGGATGGCAACTCGTAGCTGGTTTGGAGAGGTGCTATGGGGCAGCAGATGGTTTCTACAATAAATCATTTTGTTCTTCCCCAGAGTGAAAATACACAATTAGCTGGTTACTGTTTCCATCCTTGCTAGAATACATTGCTTGAAACAGGGAGTGGGCCTTTCCTGATCAATTCGGGCAGTGGGGAGAGGGAGATGCATTTGTTGCAATTAAAATGTAGACTTCCCTCCCCTCTCCCACCTCCCCATGTTGTAAAACTTAATTAAAAATTAACTTTGGAATTGTACATCAGGATCTATAAAGGGAAACAACAGGTTAAT